TCACTACTGCTATATTTCAAAAAATATAAGCTGACGATTAAAACACACCATTTAATCAATAAAAATCAATAAAATTATCTCAGCTACTTTTTTTTAGTGTCTTCAGGTACTGATCGTGCACGAATCTCCAAAACCTCATCTATGCTATATTCCGCTTCAAAATTTTGACACTTTCGAAGATGGTTTCGACATAATTTTGCCTTGTTAGAAACAAAGCACTCAGGGTTTGTAAGAGCAAGTGGTAAGATATGCTTTCATATACATAAAAGGCAAACTGCCTTTTTATTTGCTTTTTTTGTCGTGGATTCGGCCAGATAAAAAAATTCCCGAAAATTATATCCTTTTTTATCCATTGTAAGCTTTCTGCAAAAAAAAGATTACTTTCCGATAATTTAAGAAACACAAGATATTGGGCACGAGGATCATTAATTCGGTATACAAGATCCTTTCAAATTTGGTACATATTCTTACCGCCGGCGAACAAATTTCCTCGATTATGTTTTTTTTTGAGGATCGGACCAATGTATGTTTAATGTTGTCGAATTCCAAATTGGTAGAATTTACAACAATGTTGCAGCAAGTTCCCATCACTACAGATTCCCAAACCAGCAAAGTTTTTAGCATTACAATTGTCAACAATGATGCAGATTCCATCACAATTGTCCACAATGCCCAAAACTGGCAAAGTCTTTAGCAGCTAAATTACATCAACAACACTGCTGTAGAATTTTCAGCAGATTTCCGTCACAAATATCAATAAATGTGATCTATAGACTTTATAGCATGACAACATGTTGATAAAAACAACAAGCTTCCTCTTTTGATATACAACATGGAATTGCGTCATTTTCCATGTTGTTTACAATGTCCCCTTATCATTTTTCAGCATCTCCTCATCGTTTTCAGCATCTCCTCATTATTCTTCAGCATGATTCTGTTAGTTTTTGATTCATTCTGTAATCAATTTCTTCTATGGATCATAGAGCGTCCGTCATAAACGTTCTTTTCTTTATTATATATAGCAAAAGTAATGCTTCTTTTCTTTAATAGTAATAAATAGAACAATACATACATGTAATAATACAAAAAAATGTATAAAAGAATGGCCTACGGGCTACAGAAAGAACAGAATAAAAATTGTATACAATTCTTCTCCAAGCAAAATACAGCTTGAATCTTTGCGTACAACTATTCTTAAAAGCGAATTATTGCTTGTAAA